CCCCGTGACTCCGGACCCTGCGCCGCCGGAGCCCGGGAGGGGAAGTGCCCGGCCCGCGGCTGGGGTCCGGAGGCAAGGGGGCTGCCTGAAGCCCATAGCGCTCGGGGAGCTCGGCTCGTTAAACAGAGCCGAAGAGTCGGGGAGGAGCAGAGCCGCCATTTTCCCGGACATGTTCGGCTTTTTGGCAATTCCCCCCGGACGGGGGTTTGACTGCCGAAAAGCCGGACATGTCCGGGAAAAAGAGGACGTATGGTAACCCTAGTGGAGATGGGCCTATGGGCCTGATCCAGGGCAAAAGGGAGGGGGCAGGAACCAGGTGAGATGGGCCCAGGGTCTCTTCCGGGGCAGGGTTGGGTTTCCTGCCTTCTTTCCCAACAGCCGCAGTGTAAAGGTGGCAACGCCAGACACTGGGGCTGATGCTGACCATGAGAAACCCAAAAAAATGACTCTCCGTCAGTAGTTAAACATAACCAAATCCACCACTCGGCGTGGCCACAAGGGGGCCCCAGCAGTTGCTACAGCAAAGCCAGTCATGCCTAGCGTGGCCCAAGCTCCCACTGCTCTCGCTGGCTATAAAAGCCACCACTCGCAAGCCACGGGTTGTGTGTGGCTTTGCACTGCCTACTAATGGCCAGACCCAGCCACTGCATCAGCCCACTAATTGCGAGCCACGGATTCTGTTCACAGTGCACTGCCTCCTAGTGGCCATATCCAGCTGTGACGGGTTGGATCACAGAAACCCCCTGGGAGCTGCCACCCGATGTGCCAAGACCACTTCTACCCCTGCCTTCCCTGCCAGCTCGGGGCCCCAGCACCCCGTCTTGCTGAGCCAGACACTCCCATCTGCTCCAACACAGACCCAGGGTATGAATTACTTGCCCCAAAGCTTCAGGTTTACCTGAAAGCAGCTAATAGAAGTGTTCCTGTCATTAACACTCAGATGCCCAACTTCCAATGCGGTCTAAACCCAAATAAATCCGTTTTACCCTGTATAAAGCTTATGCAGGGTAAACTCATAAATTGTTCGCCCTCTATAACACTGATAGAGAGATATGCACAGTTGTTTGCTCCCCCAGGTATTAATACATACTCTGAGTTAATTAATAAGTAAAAAGTGATTTTATTAAGTATAAAAAGTAGGATTTAAGTGGTTCCAAGTAGTAACAGACAGAATAAAGTAAGTCACCAAGCAAAATAAAATAAAATGAGCAAATCTATGTCTAATCAAACTGAATACAGATAATCTCACCCTCAGAGATGCTTCAGTAAGTTTTTTCCTCAGACTGGACACCTTCCAGGCCTGGGCACAATTCTTTCCCCTGGTACAGCTCTTGTTCCAGCTCAGGGGGTAGCTAGGGGATTCTTCATGATGGCTCCTCCCTTTTGTTCTCTTCCACCACTTTATATATCTTTTGCATAAGGCGGAAATCCTCTGTCTCTTTCTGGATTCCCACCCCCTCCTTCTCAATGGAAAGACACCAGGTTAAAGATGGATTCCAGTTCAGGTGACATGATCACATGTCATTGCAAGACTTTATTGCCCACTTGCCAGCACACACATATACAGAAAGACTTACAGGTAAAACACATCCATCTGCAGACAGTTGTCCTGGTTAATGGGAGTCATCAAGATTCCAGACCACCATTAATGGCCCACATAATTACAATAGGCCCTCAGAGTTATATTTCACATTTCTAGTTTCAGATACAAGACCGGTACATTTACAAAAATAGGATGATCACACTCAGTAGATGATAAGCTTTGTAATGATACCTTACAAGAGACCTTTCGCATGAAGCATATTCCAGTTACATTATATTCACTCATTAGCATATTTTTATAAAACAATGTAGAATGCACAACGTCACAGCAACCACTACCTCGGCTCACGAATTGTAAGCCACAGAATCTGTCCACATTGCACCGCCCTCTAATGGCCACATTTAGGAATTGCAATGACCCATTATTATATTGCACACTGTAGAGTGGGCATGTGACACTATAACTCCTTTTCGTAGTTAGTGCTGGTATTACAACATCTGGGAAATAGGGACTGGAGGGAATTGATGCAAATTAGATAATCTGTAGTCAAACATGCATATGAGGCACTAGGTCATTTGTGTAATGCCACCAGAGTTCCTAGAGCCCAGACTTTTTGTAGGTGTGCTATAGAACATGGCTGATGTCATGGATGGTAAGTGGATGTCTCTGTTGCTACAACAGAGTTAACCAATGGAACTGCCTGCCACTGGATTGTCACTAATTCTGGATCTCTCTGTGTCTACCCCTCTAGGAGAGTTCAGAGGCCGACGGCCCCTCCTGGGTGGGGGAACACATCACATCAGCCATGCCCAGATTCGGTGCCTTCATTCCCCTCCTCCTCTTCATCTTCCCTGGGACCTCCTCCCATTGTCACACAGGTACAGCCAATGAATGCAAGAAGCATGCGGCCTTCGTGCCCGGGCACAGCTTGGTAGGAAGGGGCATCGATGTGACCACGATGGGCAGGAAGGGGGCCGATCTCGTCGACAGCAGCGACTGGCAGCGTCCAGACGGCACCTGCACCCTGTGCCAGAACCAACTGCAGGGAGGGCAGTCGCAGAAGCTGCCGCTGGCTGCGGTGGACTGGAGGGTCGACATCTCGTGCCGTCGGAATCTGAGCAGCTCGGTGCAGCAGTCGGCGATGGGCGTGTTGGAGTTGGCGGCGTCCGCGGTGCAGAACGACTGGAAGGTGGGGCTGGACGTGCCTGTGAAGCCCAAGGTTAATGTCCAGGTGGCGCTGGCCGGATCACATTCCAAACTGGCCAATTTCCTGCTAGACCACACGCGGATGGACAAATACAGCTTCATAAGCCACGAGGTCTCCTGTGGCTATTACAGGTGAGAGCCAGCCTGGATCAGTAGGATCACAGCAACACCACAAAGTGACACAGGGCCTTTCCCTCTAGTGGGCCCTGGTTCCCATCCGGCCCCAGGACAGGAGACTAGATGGTTTAGGGAAACAGGGAATGGGACATGGGGCCTTTCCCCTCTAGGAGGCACCAGCTGACATCTGGGCTGGCCAGCTATGGGGGATGTTCTTGTCCTGTGTGTCAGGACAGCCCGGCGACCTGCCGTGGCCAGAGCGGGGGACATCTGTCAGAACTATCAAGCAGCTGGCAGTATTCCCAGGAAGGTCGTGAGGTTCGGCAGACAGGGTGGCTGCTTTGAGTAGGAGCCACCTGCTTAGATCCTTACTTGTGGGTTGGTTAGGACCTTACCATGCACAGCTAATGACCTCAGCTGACTCACCGGGCTGAACACACTCCTCACCTTGTGTCCCTGACCAGGTTCCAGGTCAGCGAAAAGCCCCCGCTCACCAGCCATTTCACTCTGGCGCTGGAGAACCTCCCGGGCCAGTACGACAGCAAATCGAAGGTGGAGTACCAGCAGCTAATCAGCAACTACGGCACCCACTACATGTCCCAGCTGCAGCTGGGGGGCCGGGCGCGGGACGTGACGGCCGTGCGGGTCTGCGAAGCAGCATTGAGCAGCTTGACTGACGACGAGATCAAGGACTGCTTGAGCGTGGAGGCGGCCGTGAGTATCGGAACAGGCTTGGTCAAGGGTGGGAACAGCAAGTGCGAGGAGGAGAAGAAGAAGGGGAAGGTCCAGGGGAGCTTCCATGAGACGTATCAGGAGCGCCACGTGGAGGTGGAGGGAGGAGAGAGCACGACTGACGTGCTCTTCTCAGGCAGTGATGCCAAGGTCTTCTCGGCCTGGATTGAGAGTCTCAAAGGGAACCCTGGCCCGGTGTCCTATTCGCTGCAACCCATCCACAACTTGCTGGAGCAGGACGACCCGAAGCGAGAGGCGCTGAGGCAGGCAGTCAGTGAGTACATCCGTGAGAGGGCCCTGTGGAGGAATTGCACCCGAAGCTGCCCTCGGGGGACTCAACGCAGCGCCCACGACCCCTGTTCCTGTGTCTGCCCCGGGGATGCCATGACCAACGCCATGTGCTGCTCACGGGAGCGCGGCCTGGGGAAGCTGATGGTCACAGTGCAGAAGGCCAGTGACCTGTGGGGGGATTACTTTACCGCTACGGATGCCTTTGTCAAGGTCTTCTTTGAGAGAAGGGAGATCCGGACCGGCACCATCTTGAACAACAACAATCCCGTCTGGAACCTCACCTTGGACTTCAATACCGTCCACCTCACCAGCACCAGCAAGATCCGCATAGAGGTCTGGGATGAGGACAACTGGTACCATGACTTGCTCGGAGGCTGCGACATCCCGCTGGAGGCTGGGGGGCCCCACCAGAAGGATTGCTACATGAAACATGGCCGCATCTGGTTCCAGTACAGCCTGCGCTGTGGGCCCCACCTTGGGGGTCGGAGCTGCCTCGACTATGTCTCCCAGCCACCCCAGCTGGGAACAGCCAAGGGGAAGGAGGTGGAGGCCTTCTGGTGAGCCCCTGATTGGAGGGGGACATGGATGTGCACTGGTCACTAGCGCTCCCTGTCCCCCAGAGCATTTTGTAGTTCCCGCTCTGCTGACGCTTCAGAGCTTCATGCTGTCACTCCTGCTCGGGAATCAGTGTCTCCGATGCCCCTAAGAAATGTCTGCTCCTGTGGCCCGATATCCTCACAGGTCCCTCTGGGAAAACATCCCACCATGAACCGCCCATTCCGGAACCATCAGACCAGTGTGTCCAATGATTCCAGCCATCCAATGTATCCATCTAACCAACAAACGACAACATGTACCTACTGTATCCAACTTATCTGCCCCCCGCATCCAGCCAACTGCCAACCAACCAACCAACCAACCAATTGTTGCATTTAGTTTATTCAATGTATTCAACCAGTAAACCGCCAACTGGATTTAGTGTATCCAATGTATCCAACCAACCTATGAAAGAACATGTGCAGTGCATCTACCGTATCCTTCCCTCCAACCAACCAATGCATATATCTAGTGCATCCAACGTATGCAACAAACCAACCAATGAATGTATCCAGTGTATGCAAACGACCAATGAATTTATCTGGAGCATCCAATATAAAAAGCCAGCCAGCCTGCCAGCCAATGAATGTGATTAGGATGCCCAGTGTAACCAGCCAACCAACAAATGTATTTAGCGTATCCAGCCAACCTGCCAACCAGTGTCTCCAGTGCATCCAATGCATCCATCCAGCCAACCAACCAGTGTATGTACCTAGTGCATCTGGTGTATCCACCCAACTAACGTCTTAGGTTCATCCAACCAACATGTGTAGCCAGTGCAACCAATCAACCAATGAATATAAAGTACATCCAGTCAACCCATATGTGCTGGCAGTGCAACTCATCCACCACCCCACGTGTCCATCCACCCACTGTAATTACCTGTCTCGTCCATCCAGTTGAAAAGAGATCATCGGGAGGAAAGCTCCGCCCCTGTCCTATTGTGGCATCAGGGATTAACCCTCTGCAGAAACCTGAAGATACTCCAGCGATGGACACGGTTCTAAACATGCAGGGGATGGGCTGGGCTCCTGGAGGGAGGATTCATTAGGAGGCTGTTTCCTAGCTGTCATTTCTGGTGCTTTCCACAATTATCCAGCAGCTCTGGGGTACATTATCTCATCCTGAACGTGCAGGCCCCACCCACCATCCAGCTGGATGTTCCATCCTCAGATGATCAACAGAGATGATGCTATATCACTTGCCATTGGTAGGATTCAGAGTTAACACCCCCGAGGACGTGCCAGAGGGCTATCGGTTCAGGCTGGAAGCAGGCTCCTTGCAGCTTTGCATCTCCACCAGAAAATTATTTGCTTCTGGGAGGATTCCAGCTCTCCGGATCTTTGCAAATGTATCTCCTTGCTTCAGTAAATATTTGTGAAAGCAAATTTATAAGCAGGAAGCCTTGTCATTCTTCTAACCTCAGTGGGCTGGACCTAGATGTAGTGTAGAAATGAGCAGCTGCAATACATGCTTGGGAACACTAGGGGAAGCTTTAGGCTGGGCCGGAGCGAGGCATGGCAGGACAAGGGAGCTAAATAACTGGATGGATTTGCTGCAATGGGGAATCTGGTGTAATGTGGCTAATGCCAGGCAAAGGGATGGGCTTCTATCAGGCACAGAGTGGGGTGGGTGGGGAAGAGATACAGGGAGATGCACAGTGTTCTTAGGGGCATTAATATCCACAGCTGATATTTGCAAGACACTGCTATTCCCAAGCGATTGAGGAGGAGATAAGAGGAATTTTCCCTCTAAGGAGATTTAGCTCTGATCTGGCTCTAGGGCAGGGGAATTGGTTGCCTCAGGAGACTGGGGAATGGGACACACAGCCTTTCCCCTCTAGGGGGCGCTGGTTCTGATCTGGCCCCACGACATGGCTGGCTCCGGAGGCTGGGGAATTAGAATAATATTTCTCCTCTCATGAAAAAAGAACAGGAGTACTTGTGGCACCTTAGAGACTAACACATTTATTAGAGCATAAGCTTTCGTGGGCTACAGCCCACTTCTTCGGATGCATACAGAGTGGAATAAATATTGAGGAGATATATATACACACATACAGAGAGCATGAACAGCTGGGAGTTGTCTTACCAACTCTGAGAGGCCAATTAAGTAAGAGAAAAAAAACTTTTGAAGTGATAATCAAATTAGCCCAGTACAGACAGTATGGTGCAGCGCCGATTCCCTGCAGCAGGTGGCAGCCTGGACTTGTGCAACCCCGAACTGGTTGATCGGCTAAATCCATCTTACATGGCAGGTCTGACATTGCGTGGCAGGTGTTGGGGATGGGGGGAGGCTCTGAGCTCCTGACCTGCCCCTGGAAGGAAGGCTGGGATCCTGGTGCAGAGGTAGAGAGAAAGAGTTGGTGGGAGTGCAGTTGTGATGCACGCAGGGGCGGTTCTATGGTTTTTGCCACCCCAAGCACGGCAGTCAGGCGGATTCGGCAGCGTGCCTGCGAGAGGACCGCCGGTGCCGCGCGTTCAGCATCCCTGCCGCCGAACTACCGCCAAAGCCGTGGGACCGGCAGACCTCCTGCAGGTGTGCCGCTGAAGGCAGCCTGACGGGCGCCCTCACATCAAATGGCACGCCGCCCCCCGCGGCTTCCCGCCCCAGGCACGCGTTTGCTACACGGGTGCCTGGAGCCGTCCCTGGGTGCATGGTGGAGGGGAGAGGATCTTTCCATAGCCTCCTTCTGCCCCACCACACACCCAGTGGCTTCAGAGCAAGCCCCTGCACGGCCCACCTCCATCCTGCTGCCACCTGGGCCCTAGATCTTCTCCGTACCCCAGTGCCCGGGACATGGGCAGAGCATGAATCTGCTAGATGCTGCAGCACCCTGCGCAATACTATAAGCTGCCCCGGACAGCGGGATGGGCAGAAGTGGGAGCCCCATGGCAAGTGGTGGAGCCGAGATGAAGGAGTGCAGAGATAAGGACATGGTGACACCGATGAAACACAGGGGCCAACACAGGCATCTCGTAGTGTTGCTCGCCTCATAGAACCACGGGCCAGTCAGGAGTGGGGGTGGGGGTTACGTGTGCAAAAATTCATCCCCGAGCCCAGATCGGGAAATGGGGATCTACAAAGGCCAGGTCAGGATGGGGCAGGGAGGCAGGAGATCCCAGTGCAGCATGGTCCCACCTGTAATATACCGCTGCTCCGAGGGGCTGAACGCTAAGATCACGGAGCCCAGGTCGGGAAACTGGGAGCCACGTGGCCCAGACCAGTATGCAGCCGGGACGTAGCCCATGCCAGAGCAGAACGCTCCTGCTGGAAAGCAGTCGGGTGGAATCATGGAGCAGAGGCCAGGAGAAAAGGGGGCCTGGGAGATGTGGCGGAACGGGGACGGGATTCCCGTAGCCCCTCCCCTAGAGTCATCGCCCCCCTGTCTGGCACATGTAGCCCCTATGACTAGAAGCTGTAGAATCGGGCAGTGCTACAGCCACACGTCTCAGTTTCTAGTGGCAGGAAGAGCGGTTCTGACCACAGTCTTCCCCGCACCCCGCGCTGCAGCTGCTCGGCGCTGGGGGAGGGAGAAAGTGCCTGCGACATCAGTGATTGGATTGTGGCAGAAGACCCCAGATCTCCACGCCACGCCCGCTGTCGGGCCAGTCAGAGCTGCGTCTCCATCCAAGTCTGGGCCTTTCTCATCGGGAGAGAACCCAGGGTCCTGCCACCCGCCTCACCCCAAACATTAAACCTTTTTCCTTAGCACTCACTGGAGAGGTAGAAAACTTCCCTGTGAGATCTGTTCAATTGTTTCTTTCTCCCAGATCTAGACCCCAGAGATATGAAATGTTTAATGTGTTAAGAAGTTTCATCTATCTGTCCACATAACATATTTACAG